CTCTCTTTCTTTAACTGGCTATGTTACACCATTTCTCTGATGTTTCTTTGTAGTGAACTCTGCTTTTTAAACCCATGAAAGTCAAGAATCTGTAACTTCGAGAAAGCATGTGTCATGCTATCCTTTTATACAAATGGTGGGACATAGTCAAATTTATGTACTATGTGAAAAGACACACTAAGTATATTTATATGCTGGCAACTAATATCTGGTTAGGAGAAAGAAGACTGATGTTACTATTTATTGAAAACTAACAGTGTGCTGAGGTCTGTATAAACATTGAAAATGGCACAATTCTGAAGTTTCCAGCTTTCTCTAAGATACCTAGCATTCTCACATGCTTTTAATTTTTAATGGTAAACTACATCCTTGGCTGAAACCATGAAGCTCCTGAAATTACTTACAGCTCTGCAAAAATGTGGATGCATCCCTTCTGAAAACTAATAAAAGTTATATTCTTTTCCCTCTTACTTCTCACTCTCACATTTTTGAAAGCTTCTTATGCACATACGTGAATGAAAACCCAAAAATGAAACCCAAAAGCTGCCATAATTCTAGAGATAAGGACAGGTTTGTGTTACAAAGGCAGTAAATAGGTATACATGAGGGGACACTGAAAGCCCAGACTGGAAAGTACAGTCAAAGTTTCCCCAAAGGAAAATCCCAGCCAGGGAAAGTTTAGAAACCAAATGATCTCACCCACCAGAAGCAAATGAAGTTTCAGTTTCCTTTTCCATATTTTGCTTTGTTGCTTTTTGTTTGTTTTGTTTTGAGAAAGCAAGCTTACATAAGTCCACGGGCCAGATTGGTCTGCTTGCTCCCATCAATGCCAGATCCAGTGCCCATTCTGGGGTTCATACTGTGTGGGGTGCACATCCCAGAAAGGCTGGGGCAGACATCATGTGCATTCTGGATCCTGGAGTGGCCAGGGTGGGCACCACGTATGGCATGGATTGGGGAGAGACTGGAATGGGCGCCACACTACATGCTGGTCTGAGACTGTACCACACGTGGAAACTACTTCAATCAGTTTGGATGGGGTGCCTTTGGACGTGTGTCTTGGGCCCTGCCCATGAGGTTGTTCCAGGTCAATTCAGAATCAGGGGCAGCACCAGGGGCCGGTAACTGGGCTCCACAGGCTAGATCTGGTCCATGGGCCTTATGTTTGATACTCCCATTTTAAGTCATGCTGGCTAATATTTTTCATAACATAGTAGCTGCCTTGACTATTTTGTTGGTCAAAATGTGTTAGTTAACACAGTTTATAAAAGTTTTTTCCCCTTATGTAGCCATGGGCTGAGTGGAAAGATTCTTCTCCCCAGGAATAAGCAACAGGAAAGGATCTCAGACTAGATTCCAGCTCTTCTCCTTTTAATAACTACATACTATGATTGACAACAAAAAGCCATTTGAGAAGAGACACAAAAATCATTAGGCATTATGATCCTCTAGGTCACCCTGTGGGTCACCTTCTCCTATATGTTCTTCATCTAGGAAGGTAATTAAGGTGGGACATAATAGTTAGCAGTCTTCAAATATCAGAAAGCCTGCCATAACGAAGACAGAGACTGATTTCTCCCTCACTGCAGCAAGCAGGACATGTAACAAAATGGTTTGGGTAAAAAATGGCTGCCTGATTGTACTCAATGATTCCTTACTTGATTTCTTCTCCTTCTGAAAATTAATTGCAGAACAGTACAGATGTTCCTGAGATCTGATCTACAATCATGCAGTGTGATTGCAGATCAAGTACCAGTTTTACAAACCTTCGCCTGTGCTAGGAGTCTGATCTAAATAATTAGGGGTAGGGGGGAAAGGTTGGCAGGACTGGAGGAGCTAGCGGGTCCATGGGGGTTGGGGCTGGCTGGATCAAAGAGGCTCATGGGTCTGGGGGGGAGGTCCAAGGGACATTTGACAGGAACCTTGGTACAGTTTGGCACTTAGATTGACCTAACTAGGGATCTATCTGTAAGGTCCACATGTCGGTGAAGTAAGTTAGGTCAGGTGGCCATTTTTTGCAGGACCTAACCTTCTAAATTTCTACGTGTAATTATTGCACATACCCAAAGTAGGTTTAGGTTGGATGTCAGGAAAAACTTTTTCACGGTTAAAGCAGTAAGGCAGTGAAACAGAAATTCCCAGGGAAGTTGTAGCATCTCCTTCATTGGATATTTTTAAGAAGAGTTTGGGTAAGTATTGGTCAGGAAGGATTTAGGAACAGCAATGCGTGTAGTATGCTGTGAAGAGCAACAGCTGTAAGCCAGGAGATTTACCATAACTCATTCCTCAGAGACCATGAGAAGAGCTCTGTAGCCCAGAGCAGGTGAAAATTGGAGAGGACCAGGCTCGGCAGCAAGAGGATGAAGCAGAACTCCACAACCAGTCGGGTTATAAAAGAAGATTAAAGGCACTAGGATAAGTTTATGGAGAGGACAGGATGATAAAAAAGGAATTTTTAGTTCTCTAGTAATGGTGTGTGATGCATGGAGTTGTTTTCCAGTACCCAGACTACAGTGCAGAGTGAGGGGTGTTTGGTTTTTCTCATGCTTTGGGGTGTTGCTAGTTGTCACACAGGGCCAGGAAAGCATAGTCTCCCCCTTCCTGTTGCTAAAGCTTTTCAGGGGAGTTTTGGGTTGCTGGTTTTTTGTGTGTGGGGGGGTTCCTTCCTCAGAAGCATTATGTGATTGCCATAGCCCAAGCTGGGGATTTTGATAGGGATGTACTTCTGTTCCTGCTGTGACCTAAAAGTCCCAGAGGTTTCTGGCTAAACAGCCTAGCTCTTCCGGTCAGGGTAAGACTGATCACCTGGGATCAGGATAGAATTTTACCCCACAGTCAGATTGGCAAGGACTGTGAGTGCTTTTGACTTCTTTATAGCAAGGGATATGATCTTCTTCCTTGGATATTTTTACTGTATTTAACAAACTACTTTTTGTCCTGGCAGTGGCAGGATACTGACAGTTCCCTCATTCTCCTGCTTTACCTGTGACAAATTATTATTTTAATGTTTCAGGCCTTATGCCTAGTAGTTGTGTGTGATGGTTGCTCCTGAAATTGTAGAATATATTAGACATACACTTTTCTAGGATGCCTTAGGGAAGAATGATCCTGACATAAGCAGGGGGTTGAACTAGATGATCTCTTGAAGTCCCTTCTGATCCTACTTTTCTATGACTGATTCTACAATCCACCATGTAGAGTAGACTCACAAATCTACATTATCCAGTCTCCCTTTCTGGACTAGAAACTGCATTGTACTACATGTTCACCTTGATATGGGTTGACCAGGCACAGTCCATAAATCACTAATCATTCCTGATAATCTTGTCTGCAGCAGCATAGACTATGTTAGAACAAATTATTTGATTTAGTAAGTGGACAGAAATAGCCCAAACCATTTACAAAAAGTAAGAAGTCAGCATCTTACGAAGTTCCATGACTCATAAAATGTTTATTTGAACTTCCTCAAAAAAATTCCACGGGGAGGGCTTGCACAGCTTGTAAGCAATGACATTTCTTGTCTGAAAGTTAGAGAGCGTGTCAAAACGAATCTGATGCCAGAAACTTTAACTTGTCTACGGAGGGAAATTTTACCAATCTAATTATAAATCTATTAAACCAATTAATATACCAATTTTTATATTTATACCACTACAGTTGTATAACTTCTCAGTTGTGAGCTTTGAATACAATATGAACAAAACCATACAAAGGTACCCTTTTTGTGGCATATGAATGTGCACAGGCAAAATTGTACTAGCATAATAACAGCCGTGTACTTGACGCCAGTTAAGCTGGTAAAATTTTCTGCGTAGACAAGCTCTTAAAGCCAGAGCATAGGGTCATAAAAGTTACAGAAGATTAAAGGAGCCAGGATAAGTTTATGGAAAGGATAGGATGATAGAAAAGGGATTGTTAGCTCTCCAGTTACGGTGTGTGATGCATGGAGTTGTTTATCTGGTGTCAAAACCTGGGGGCTTACTAATGGGTTCTGAAATGCCATGGAACATGGTTTATTCTTGGCTGCACTTGCATTCAATTCCATCTGCTGCCTGCTCAGCAGCAACTGTGGCTGACGCACATGGTCAGCAATGGCCAGTTTTGTTGTCTGTTGAGCTCAGCGGCACAGAGGAGCAGGGGAGGAAGCCCTGTCTGCTAAAGGAGAAGTGGGAGAGCCCTAACAAGCTGAAGAGGTGGAGCCTGCATAATCTACCCAGGGGTTTTCTCTGTGAGGAGTGGATTTCAGGGGGATTCCCCAGCTGTCCCTCTACAGAGGTGTTTGCTCAGTGGTAGAAGTAGCAGCTGCCTCCTTCTGCTCACACAGCTCCTCCTACAAAGAGCAAACTTTGCGCTCCTCTTCAATTCAAGCCAGCAGCCAGCCATGCCTTCAGTATACTACACCCAGCTTGTCATCCTAAGCAATGGTAAATGGAAAGCTTTTCATTTCTGATTCTTACTTTTCTAAGCGATTTTTATAGGGTGCTCTTTGGGAAGCCAAGAATGTTTAGATTAATCTTTTACAATGTGTATACTTGTGTCTTACAGTTTGGTGCTTGATTCATGGGGCTCCCCAGGCACTTTCAGAGATTGTGGTGACATGTGGTGAAGAAGCACTGCTGCTCTGTCAAGCTCCTCAGGATCTCCAAGTCACCTACACAGCTGTGTCCTGGAAGAAAGTAAGTCAATGCTACTGGGACTTGTGTAGATGGGAGAAGCAGCTCTGCTTTTTCTCCTGTCATATGTGGTTTTCTTTATGCCAGAACAGTGGAGAAATGGAGTTAGCAGGTATTACCTACAATAGTTTGACTCAGATAAGTTGGATCCTCATTCATTGCTTTTCTGAAGCTCTCTGCTTACCTGCTTTCAGATGTCCTCAGTTCCCACTGCATCAAAATTCAGAGGGTGCCCACCTTCTTATCCTATAGCAGTGATTCTCAACCCTGGGTGGGGGGTAGGAGTGGGTCTTGAGATCTTTTCAAGGGTGCCACAGTGTGCCACATAATGTTAACCCTGTTAGGTTTACAAACTTGATTCACAAGATAAACCTAGAGATTTCAAATGGAAGTCCATAGTTGTGGTCTTTCTGAGTTCTTTACAACTGAAAAAATTGCTCTATTATTTTTTTGCAAGCAAAAAAAAAAAAGAGTGAAAACTTAGAGCTAGCATTATCTAAAATGTGCCATGAGTCTATCCAGGGGTGCCGTGAGTGTAAAAAGATTGAGAACCACTGTCCTACAGCCTACTGCTTCACCTCCTGCTCATCAGTCTTTAGGACTGCTCCCTTTGCTATACTCTTGTACTGATGTTTTAACTTCAGAACCCAGTGACATTGCTGTAAAATGGGGATTGACTTTTACTTAAACAATAACACCTGAGTTAGTATTTGCTGTTCTTTAGAAGGGTATGTTTTGGGAGAGATTGAGTAAAGGTCTGAGTTATCACTCTGTTTAGTTAAAAAAAAAAGTTTCCCTCAGACTCCCTGCTTCAGTATTGCTCTTTTTAAAATATGAGGATTCTGCTTTTAAGTGTGGGTTAAAAAAATATTATTTCAGGATGGTATAGATAGGAATTCCTATAAACCTTCTGTGAACAGGGGCTTGAACTAGATATCCTCCTTCCAGCCCTATTTTTCATATGATTCTTACCAACCTACTTGGAGGGCTACTAAGAACAAATAGATCAATTAATTGATTAATAAGATACTTTGAAGATGAAATTGTTACAGAAACAAAGGCAGCATTGTCCAATGGTTAGAGGGGCAACTTACTTTCTGTGTGACATTATTTGGCCTCAGTTTCCTTATTGGTTAATTGGGAGACAGTCCTAATAATTCACTGTGGTAAACTTTTTTGCTGTGTAAATGCTTTTGGTTCACGTGCATGTCCTACATTTAGGCTGAGGTTCTGTGGTTGGAACAGCTCTATTTTAAGGTGGTTACCAGAATAAACATCTATATACATACTTAACTTGGCCAGAATTACTCGCATCTTCTTTGCTATCCCATCACTATCCTAATATTATTTCCCTTAGAGGCTGGGTTGAATAGGAATGATTGCTGGAAAAAGAGGACCTTGGCAGGGGGTTGGACTTGATGATCTGCTTAGGTCCCTGCCGACCCTACCAACTATGAAACTATGAATTTTGTGGGTTTGGGCTGTTTTCCGGTGAACACAAGATAAGCCTGTTTCTTTTTTGCCATCTGATTTCAAAGACTGGATAAACTTGCATTTTACAGATAAATATTGACTAATTAACTAACACCCCATGCCTCCTTCTGTGCCTGTGCATGTCATGGAGGCTCTAAAAGGCAGAAGTACAATTTTTCAGGAGTCTTTTTGTAGGCAATCCATTTGAACCAGGTCACATGGACCTTGAGAAAGTGAACAAAGGCAGGCTGTTGGTGGGTGAGAATAGGTAGAGGCATAGGCCAGGCTTCTGCAAATTCTTCACCCAACTGGCATAGGAAAGCAGCAGAAGTTAAAAAAAGCTCCAGATAAGACATTCAGGGGTAGATACAAGGGGTAGTTGGTGCAGTAGTGTCCCTCTTCCACTGTGTAGCACAGTGAGCTTTCCTACCTGCACTAGTCAGCAAGGGAAACTGGGGGGTGGGGTGTGGACAGGGAACAAGTACAGGAAGTTGGGTGGCACCCACTGCCACACTGCTGTCCATGGCTGAGCCTGGCTTTCCACACAGCCACTCCCTGCAGCCCCTTGCTGGAGCAGGGCAGGAGTTGTCCTGGGGCTCCCGCCAGCCCCAGGTCAGCCAGGGATGTGTGGGTCTGCCTTCCTCTACCTGCTGTCTGCCTGGCCCCTCCCCCAGTTTGTCCCACCTGCTTGGGGGTTCCACCCCCCTCTCATGGTGTGAGCTGCAGTGCTGGTTGTATCTGCCATACCCCTCCATTTCTAAATACTAGATATGCCTATGAAGATGCTGTACCACTTCCCTGTCTTTAGGCAGAAACCTTTGGGTTTAGGACAGGTTTAGGGGATCAGTCATGATCAGTGAAGTACCTGGAAGGCGGGTCCTGCAGGAAGCATATTCTCCAGAGTCCAGTGGGAGTTGGTGGGGCCAGACATCAGAGTCAAGAACGATCATGGTGGCGGAAGAATTCTTGGGAAACATTTTAGGTCTGATTTGCTTTTGTCCTATGGCTCTTTACACTTCTATGGGGGTGCAGTGAGGCTGTAAACCCAGAAGCACAGGTACTTGATGAACTGTTTGTGTACAAGGGTTCCTGGATGGCAACATTGCAACCTTCCTTTGCAATGTCCTGATAGGGAGGTGTGTTGGAGGCACAGCCTTGGGGCCAGAGCTTCTCCCCTGCCCTGTCCTTCTCATCCTTTCCCTTTACTGTTCCCTCTCCCTTTACTTTTCTTTTTAGTTTATCCCCTCCTCACTGAACCCAACTAAAAAAAACCCCAAAGCCATTCCCTTCTCCCTCCCCAGCTGTGGTAATAACATATCTCTTCACACTACTTGTATGTCCTGCTCTGTTCCACCTCTCTTTATCAACCTGGTCTATTCAGACTACATCTTTCATAATGGCTGTGAATGTCTGGTACCCTGTTTGTACAGTGCCTGCACCATTCTTGGATAGGCATTACCATAATAAACATGATTAATAATAATAAAAGCTCATGCCATGGTTTCAGGAAACAACACAGCCAAGTGAGTGTTATAGCAAACTTACGTGCCTATTTTTACTTCAGAGACTAATCATAGGGGTATGGGCTTACTCTGCTACTGTGCATGAGTTATGCATGCAGAAGAGAATGGGTTCTTTAGTCACTTAGGTTCAGGTAAGAATGTGGCAAAATACTTACAGCTTTTAGGATGTCTCTGTCCTTTCTTCCACTTGGTTAACTGAATGTTACTGTCACCATTCACGATAAGGGGGAATCAAACAAACAAACAAACAAACAAACAAACAAGAAAGAGGCAACCAAATATAGAATTAATCTGTTATAAAAGAAAAAAAGCTTCCAAAGGATTAATCAATAAACACCACATACAGCTCCCAAAGGGCTAATTAAAAAGTAATTCCAACAAATGGCATGAAATTTCAGCCTGTAAAGTTCAAACAGCTGCTACGCTTAATCTTTTGTATGAGGTCACCTTGAAGTGTGCAGTAAATGTGAGCAATTAACCTGTGGCTTCTGCTGGTTTTTTTTTTTAATGATGATGATGTGACAGTGCAGTGCAGTCAACTGTTTGTGCAGAAATAATGCTTGGATAATACATCCCTAGGATATGATTGCCATTTCCTGACAATGTCAGGGCACTTTAAAATATTTTCTAGGGCCTGTTTTAAAAGATGCCAGTTTAAAATATTAGGGTCTTATCTGAAAAAAAATAAACAACCGTCCCTCCCCCGGCTTTAAAAGCATCGTGTGTCAATCTAGCGTTACTATTTTAGTGTAAAAAATCAAGCGAGGATAATATGGCAGCACTTAAGGGGTCAAAGTACAGCTTCAGGGCTGGGTCCATACACCGACGTGGCCAGAGGTGTGAACTTGAACCCTGCTTTGGACTTGTGCTGCAGGCTGCCCCCTAGTTAAATAGTGGTCTGCTCACTCAGGCTGGGGACTCAAAAGCAGTCAAATGTGATGCAAGCCACAACTCACCTTTGTGGCTAGGGACAGACATTCAAAAAGCCTGAACCTGAATTGATTCCATCTTTGCAGGTTAGTCTAACCTGGCTAGGTTAAATCAGTTTTGTAACTAGACAGACATCCCAGAAATGCAGGCACATGCGTACAGTGGCCCAGGCTAGAAGCCAGAGGGTTCTAGAGCAGCTCTCCCTTCCCTTCCACAGAGCTGAGCTCTGGTGGCCAGGCCCTGGTAGGACACTATGATCCAATCAGGTTTATCTCAAACCGGTTTCAGCCATTTTCAAACTGGTTCATGTGCACTGACCATCTGTTCTGTTACAGGTTTAAACCAGTTTCTGATCACTTGCTTGTAATTTCTGTCCCTAGCCTGTGTGTCCTCAGTGGTAGATGCCAGCATGGCGTAATCATGCTAGCCTGATGGACTGTTAGGCTTGGGAAAACCTTGACTTTGACTAAGCACTACAACTTTCTCAGGCTGCAAACAACTATACTTGTGGATAATTCAGCACACAGGTGATCACATTGAAGCCACAAAGTTATACAGGTGCACGAGCAAAAGGTGCATCAGGGCCTGTGTCAGTTAGCTCAAGTAGAACTGTTTTTATTCAGATATTTGAGAAAGTGGAGCCTACTGGGCTGAACACAAGTTTGAATGGTAAGAGTGGTTATGCTGTGTTCCTGACTCTGTTACCAAGCATTGTGAAGTCTTCAGCAAGTTACTGAGAGCAAACTTTTCATAACAGAAGTGTCCAAAGTTGAGTAATTACTGAAGTGTTATTTAGTCTTTCTGGGATGCTAAGCACCCCTAAGTCCTGTAAAGTCACTGGGAAATTATCATGTTCACTATCTGAACATTATGTCACAGTACCTGAGTGCCTTACTGGAACTGAGTGCAGAAATGAAGTTCCTTGTTTCTGTGTTCCATCTCTTAAACAGAACTGTGAATAATAAAACTTAACTAACTTGCCTTGTTGGGCTGTTGAGGACTTGGTAGCTGCTATTTATACAGTAAGCTGAAAATATAAAATATGTTGTAACAATTAAGACCTGTTACCTATTAAATTAATTTTAAACAGGATTTGAATACATGCAAATTTGAATCTAGTGGGGGTTTGGATATCTCCTTTATTAGTGCTTCACCTGTGAAAAGCCTGATCTAAAAACCACTTTTGGTGAGGAGGAGAAAAAAAATGAGCAAAACAGGCATCTGACAACAAATCTGATTTGGTATTCTCTGATCTGTGTACCTAAAACACACAGGGCAAATGCTATCTCCATTTATGCCCAGCTAGATCTGGTCTAAAAATCTTTGTCAGGTTTAAAAAGAACAAACAAAAAATGGGAAATACCTATTTGACCAATTTTTGTGTGTGCTTAAAATCACATTTTTGGTAGAAAAATACATTCTCATATTATCCTTTCTTTTTCTTCTGGAAGAGGGAGGGAAAGAAATGAGCAACCAGGGTCCATCCCTCCTCCCCAACCACCAATAAAAATGTTTCAGTCTCTAAAAATGAAAGATTTAATGGGAAAAAATGAAGGGAAACACACCTTGTCACCATCATCATAATCAACAGCAACAACAATCCTTTTTCAAAATGTACTTTCTTTTACTCACCACCTTCTCACTTCATACTCAACAGCTGATTGTGCCAATTTGGGCATGGCCCTGGGATTGCAGAGGAGACACTGAGCTTTCTCACCCTCTGGGATCACCAGGATACATTATGTATCTTTGAAAAGGCACTGGAGTACAGAAAGGTTATGTTCTCAACATCCTACTTGCTCCACGTTGGTTAGTGTTTGATTGTGGGAAGAGCAGTGGCCTCACCTCCTATCTGCCCCCTGCCTGATCACAGGGAGTAGGAATAGAGGGTGCCTGTAGATGTGCAGGGAGGCTACAATTACAGCGCATCAGAGTAGACTCAATTAATTGAGTTTCCTGGAGTGTGCTAATTAGTGTACTTCAGCAGCCTCTACATCTCATGTATCAGTGTTACCATGCTTCAAAATGGCAGCAGGGGTGCTTTAACTAAAGCTAGTTCAACAAGCTATAGTTAAAGTGCCCATGCTGCCATTCTGAAGTGTGGGGACACTGATAGATGAGATGCTCTAATTAAAGCAACCTCCCCACCACCCTTGGAACATATGTAAAAATTTCCAGAGATACTCCTGACCTGCAATGCTGTATGGGATAATCCTAGTTTATCTTCCTCACCCTCCCTCCCTCCCTATATACATGATGCCATTCTGAGGCCCAGTCACATAGATTCTGCACAAGTATAATAGGGAGCAGAAAACCTTGTAACACTTAGACCTCACAAAATAAATTTACTGGGGGGTTAGTGACAGGTGTAAATTCAGGTCCGCCTAAGCCTTCTCTTCATTAAAGATTTGATCCTACAATAGGCAGAGCTCTTAAGAACCCTAGCATGTTCTTATGTGCTTTGCTGGGTGAGAATCACTGACCCAAATTCTATGAGTCTTTCTTACACCAGGTAGCAATTTGAAAGTAATGGGGCTACTCACAGGGTAAGGGACACTAACCAAGAGTAAGTTGTAGGGGAAGAGATAGATCCTGGTTCAAATTTGATAAACCCTAGCAGCACTACTACTACTCTCCTGCTAATGTATCTCAGGCCTGAATCAGAATGACCTTTTCCCTTTGCATTTGGTCCTTGGCCTCTTCACTGCAGCAGTCCTTAAGAAAACTAGTTAGTGCCAAGGGTCTAGGAAGGCATGAAAATCTTGTCTTTCAGGTGGTCTCGGTCCAGTTTCAGCTCATTATACACTGGCCACCAGACACTTAAAATTCTGCCAACCTGGTATTTGAAAATCAATGCCTCATGGTAATATACATGTTTTACGTCAAGATCAACAATCTGAAAGTCATACATTCAATAAACTTGCCTTATTGCTGGAAAATTTTTAAATTAAATCATTTTTATAATTATCCTACCCTCAGAAAAAACAATGTTAATGTTAATACATTCCACCTTCATTCTGACATCAGCCTTGGAGCTGTACCATTTTGCATGTAATAAAAGGTTGTTTTTATGATGGATGGGGATTATATCGGCAGTTTAATGTAGCTAGGAGCCACGGTAGTCTTAGCTGAAGGGAAGTGCTATGAAAAAAAGCCATTTGATGAGACTGGAGAGAGTATGTTAATTGAATAGCCATTTTTTTTCATACACATTTAATAAAATTAAGTTTTAATTGATTATTTCTGCCAAAGCACAGTGAGTTGTATGCACGGCCACTACATTGGGGTGAATTTAATTTATGGCGGGTGTCTGATCATTTATATAAAACAACACTTATTTGCTAACCCCCACCTCAATTTTCCACCTGTGAGCTACAAAGCAATTCTTGTTTTGGTTGGCTAAAGGAGACATACTTGTAGAAAATGAATTTTAAAAATGTGGAACCACGGTTACTTTCCCCTTACTTGAAAGGGATATTTGTCCAGTCAAAGAGCAACAACACATGCAACCCAGAAAGTCAGTGATAACAACATAACTTTTCATTGTAAACTGTTTACAAAACACCTTGCAAACAAAACTAGAGCTATTTGTAGATATTATTCTGCATATAACTTTGAATTGTGGATGATTTGGGAATATCAAATTTAAAAGCAAAAAAAGAGAGAGGCAACATTAATCTAGTAAATTATGGCATTACAAATTACTAACCCAACCTATTAGCCACAAATTACTCTAAGAAACTCATTATGTTGGAGCAGAGTTTTTCTAGTATAGTTTCCTTTCTCCCTTATCTCCAGAAGTGGTAAAAAGCCCTGGCTTTTGCTTTCTGTTAAACAAGTCTGAACTGATAATTTCAGCAAAATAATGGAGCCACTTGGGGCTTGCATCAGGGGAAGGAAATAAAAAATTGCTTTTGTGTATTATTTTAAAAAGGTAAGACGCTTTTCAGAACTTAGGACTTCATAGCCTTGTTTCAAAAGAGTTTAAAATACAGCTCTGGCTAAGCAGTGCTTCAAATGGTAGAAACGAATGAAAAAAACCTCCCCTGCCCCATTTAGTCTAGAATAGTGGTTTTCAACCTTTTTTCATTTGCAGACCCCTAAAACATTTTGAATGGAGGTGTTGGACCCCTTTGGAAATTTTAAATGGAGGTGTGGACCCCTTTGAATTGTCAGTATGGGTATTCACACTTTTGATTGTTCATAGTCATCTTTCACATACCCCTGAGACAGTCTGTGGGATCCATGGACCACAGGATGAAAACCACTGGTCTAGAACATAAGGTGATTTTAGGAGAATAGCTATTGACCAATGTAGACAGAGACTAAAAGGCCCTGGTCTACAATGATTTTCAAAAGAGAAATTATAGTCAATCAGTTTTGTATGTGTGTTTTGAAGAGGAACAGCCTTCCATTTTTTAAAATCCATTAACAATGAAGTGGGCTGATTCAACAGTTTTTACCTTCTATCCATTTTCCCAAACTGGAAAAAAATAGAAATTGGCCATTCAATTATATTTTCTTAAGGTCTGCATTTGGGGAAGAAAAGGCTCATTTGCTTCATTGGTGAAGGCCCATATGCTGATTGCCTCTTGCTTCTCTATTTTAGCAGCATTTTCTCCCCTCATTGCCGTCAAGGTGATGGAAAACAACAGAGTAAGCCCTCTGGCTGGTTTCTGAAAAGTTGGAAGCCTGTCAAAAATGTCGCCACAGGCCAATGTAAATGTGACAATAAAAATAAACTCAAATTTCCTTTGTTGTTTAATTTTTTTAATGGATTATTTTATGCAGACAGGAGAATGCTGCCTGCAGGTGCCTGTTTCCCAGAAAAAAAAAATTGCTTCAGTAATTTTCAGCAGCCAGAATGATAATAAGTCCATTTTTATGTAAATAGGCTTCAAATAATGTATTTCTACAGGTTCCAACATGATTCATGATCTGTCTTTTGAATTTGGTAGAGGGTTTAAAAGAAAAATAGTTATAAAGCCCATGTCCCTTTCATGCATCCAATTTATTATTAGGAGGATGCACGGCATCTTTGTCAACATGCCCCCTCTAACCTG